CACCCACACCCACACACCCACACACCCACCCACACACCCACCCACACACACACACCCACACCCACACACACACACGCCTCAATCCCTAAGCTCTCCTGTTTTTGCATACTGTTCTTGTCCAACTTGGCCAAGTGGGAGATGAAGGCGAATTCGGATGGAGAGGGGTGGGTGCCAGACGGTAGCGGCTCAAAGCCCTCCTCGGAGTGCAGTGAGTGTGGAAATGGGGGCCACTCCCTCGCGGAGAGTCAGCCGGGGCTCCCGGAAAGATGCCGGCCCGGGCGGAGGTTGGGGACTCTGGCCTCCCTCCTTCGCGCGGCGTTCCTGGCGGGTTCCTGAACTCCTCGGAGCCGCGCTGATGGGGGGGACCCGCGAGGCTGAGCGGCGCCAGGTAGCCCTGGGAGGAGGTCCGGGCTTGGGGGTGGGAAAGGGGATTTTACACCCCCCCCTCTTATACATAACGTATAAAATCGGAGAATCTGAAATGGTGTAGGGTTCCTGCCTGGGCAGGGGGTTGGACTCGATGACCTCCAAGGTCCCTTCCAACTTTATTATTATTATTATTAGAAGCGCGGAGGATGGGGCTTGTGAAAAGTCAAGACTCTGGAGTCAAGATTAACGCCCTGCCAAATCTGCCTTGCGCTTTCTCTCAAACGTTTCCTTCCCCAGTGAAAAAGGGCTTTCTGTTTTCCTTATCCGTAGTCTCCAGGGACTGGAAAATCCACTTGGAAAGTATCTCGGTGGTTCCTTGAGGCTTACTTCGTCGCTGGAGAAGGAACTGCTGAAGTGGGTGTTGCCAATCGTTTTCCATCACTGCGAGGTCTTTCCTTGGAATTGAAGAAGAATGAGGAGATCAGAGAGTCTTCAAACCACTGAAATGATTGTACAGTGAAAAACGAGATACGGGGACACAGCCCTTGACCATCTTCTCATGGCTTCTGTGACATCCAGTTGGTGTTGCCTCATAGATAGAGTTCCATCATGACAATCTGTCCCTAACCTGGTCTTTCAGGTCTTCTATCAATCTATTCATCGGTCAAGGCTGCAAACATTGACAAAGTCTGTTCACCTTGCTGCTGTCATCCTCTTTTCTTTTTCCTCCCACCTTTCCCACATTACTGTCTTTATCAGGTTTTTTTTATTTGTTGTTGTTGTTTCTAATTGCGAAGTCGTGTATCGCAACCCCATGGTCTTCCTGTCCTCTACCAACTTCTGGAGTCCATTTAAGTTCACACCTCCTGCTTCAGTGACTCCATCCAGCCACCTCATTCTCTGTGGTCCCCTTCTTCTCTTGCCCTCCATCTTTCCCAGCATCAGGCTCTTCTCCAGTGAGTCCTTCCTTCTCATTAGGTGGCCAAAGTATTTGAGTATTTTTTTTGTTGTATAATGTGTCCAAAATTAAGGTTTTGACCTGGCCAATTGTGCCTCAAATGAGAATTCTGGGTTGATTTGTTTGATGATGCAGTGGAAACTTGGCTTTAAGTTATGGTGGAAATTGTAGCGTTTGGCTTGCTTCACAGTTAAACCATGCTGTAAAGTGATATGTGAATTCAATAGTATTCTGTTCTACTCAGAGAAAGCAAAAAGAAGTGCAATGTTTCAGCAAATCTGAGTGGTAACTAGTGGTAATAGTTAGAAGACTGTGAAAAAAAAATCCTTTCATTAGCTTTGTCTTTTCTCTGTGAATGGCTGCCATTTAATTACACTGGGAGAGAGTCACTGGAGCAAGCTATTCTTGTGTTAATCTAAGATTTGCTCCAGAGTAAAATCATGGTGGCCCCTGGCACTCATTGAGAGAGTAAGTTCTATGTCGTCGTTGCGAGACGAGAGTCCGGTTCTTCGGTATATCTAGTCATAAGTCACGGAGTTTTACCGGTTGTCGTAAGTAGACCTTTTTGGTATTCGTATCTCTCGTTTCATTAATGGAAGAAGATGTCAACTAAAGGGAATCCACTATACTTCTATACAACCCATGTTTAATCGTCCCTTGCATGAAGATTGCACAGCAATCCTTTACTCTCTTCCCCGATGTGGTTTTGTCTATTTTCCTGAAATTTGGACTTTGAGAAGGTGGGATTTGGAAATTTGGGAATTGAGGTGCAGGCTTGGTTTAGAGTAGATGGGACATCCAAATTTGGATGCAAGTCCTTATAGCACATATGCAAAGCTCATGTATACCATTATCACATTAGTGCACAGATTAAAAAATGCACTGAATTACAATAGCTTGATGGGTTTGTGTATTGGGAAAATATAAGTTCTTCACAGCTCTGTTGAAAATGAGTCCCATCAGGGCAGATTGTAGTTCAGGGTTGAACTTTGGAGCCCTTGATATTCTCTGGGTTTGGTTCTTTTCTTGCAGATGTTTCATTACCTAGCTAGGTAACATCTTCAGTGATAGAATTTCACAACACATGGACAGACCTAACTATGGTTTCAACTGTAAACTTATAAGCATCCTAGACCAAGCTACATCCAAAAATGCTAGGGTATTCCTGAAAGCTTGACACTCAGAGAAATCAGCCATCAACAAGCACATAAGGATAAACAACACTTACCATTAAAAAGATACAATAAAAAACTGAAAAGGAAATAAAAAGATAGAACATCTCCTTGCCAGCAATCAACACTTAGATAAGCAGGGATTAACACCAGACAAATAATAAAGCAGTAAACAACAAGCCAATCAAGGAACAACCAAGGAGAAAGCAACACTCCCACCAACACTGACAGGGCAAGTTATTGTATATAAAGACAGAACAAACTCCATTCCATTCTAGCATCTATTTGTGTAATGAAACATTTGAAGGAAAACAACCAATTTCACAGGATGGATTATGATATCATGTGATATACGATATGATTTCAGCAGAGTATGGAAAAGAGAGGTTACCCAATTAGGGATTCAAGTAAAGCTTTTCTGAGAGGGTATTTTATATAGCACAATAGTAAATTTGAAAACAAAAAATGTAAATGATTTTAGATGAGATTAAAAAAAAATAAAAAAAAATCTCCAGGGATGACAACTATAATTCATCAAGTTAAGCTTTTACAGAGACAATTATCTAGGTTAAGACATTTCTTTGGAAAAATGGATGACTGCTAATAGAATTTACCAAAAATTACGGACAATCAGACAACTTTTGAATGGACTTATAACAACAAAGAAGTTGTGTGTAGCTAATAAAAAAAAAAACTAAAATAGGAAAGGCTTTAGATGAGTCCAGATGGATTGCTGGTTTCTTACCATAAATGTTTTGCAGATAAGCTTATCCAATCTTAACGGCAAGTGATAAATATTATTCTGTAGAATGGAAAGATTCCAGATAGTTGGAAAAAAAGGCTAATATAACTTATTAAAAGGGATAAGGTTTGTCAAGCAATATGTTTATTAAATAATGATTGCAAACTGTTTACCACAATTTTGGCTGAAACATTGAAAATAATTTTACAGGATTTTATTCATGA